ACAACATGACACATTTTTCCAAATAACACACACACACACACACACACACACCTACACACACACACACACACACACACCCCAAAAAAACCCCAACATGTAACACAAACAATGGGTTGCATAATATTGAAGTATGACACAAAAAAACAAACAAATTACTTATTTTCATAGTGATCTTTGCTATATGCTGAAAATATTAAATTGTCAACAACAACAGGACTTGTAAATCAGCATGGGACTCTTAAAGATGTCACAACTGCTGACTAGTATTACAAAGATTAGTTAATTGGCCTCCATTTTTCACTACTGATCTCTTCGACAACTTACTGACCAAGAGATGATGAAATCTACTCTTAAAACTGATCTACAACCAGTGTACAGCTTTACTGTCCTTACTTTAAAGATTACTTTCAGGGTGAAACCTGATTCTGAATCTGCATGAAGTTTGTTAGCATGTAGCGTGTATGACACACATCCTCACTGACATGTTTGTGTTCATCTTGAATGACCTGAGCATAGCTAAAAAAGTGTCACTGTATATGTGTGACTGACACATGTCATTAACTGTGTAATGCAGTAAGGTTTAGTGTGTGTATGTGTGTGTTGTGTGTTGTACAGCTGGTTGTGGTCATGTACAAAAGTGGATAGGGCTTCAGGCATCACATTTCTCCCAGTGCCTGTGTGCTATGTGATACTGCAGTGTACCTGTGTGTGTGTGTGTGTGTGTGTGTGTGTGTGTGAGTGATAGCCCCAGGTCCTGTTCCAGAGCAGCGATCACGCACAGAGACAGTAACAGAGGCGAACTGCGACTAACAGCTAGTGAAGCATTCAGAGCTTCTGACAGGATGTAAGATTTCGAGAATTTTCTGTGGTCTCGGCTCGCAAAGCCTCAGCAGGGGAGAATGGAGATCAGAATAAAGTGACGCCCTGGATTTGGACCCAGGCTGTCTCAGCGTCTGCTTTGCTGAATAATTGATCCCCCAGCTTGTGACTGGTTGAAAATGAGGAAGGCAGCTCTGATGGTTTGGATCAGCCTTTTGGTGCAAGGTCAGTTCTGCATGATGGATTTGTTTGACGTTTATATCTGACTGATGCAGATAAACATGTTTGTTTTTTTCTTTGCAAAGCCAACTCTGCCTTGTTTTCTGCTCTGTCATCTGACATATTGTAACCTTTGCTGTTGTGCCCACCCTCTGATCTCCTCTTACCCCCTCAGTGTCCCATGGTGCTCAGGGTCATTATGCCCGCAAACTTCTGAATGATCTGATGGAGGACTACTCCAACGCTCTGAGACCTGTAGAGGACACAGACAAAGCCCTCAATGTCTCTCTGCAGATCACCCTGTCACAGATCAAAGATATGGTGAGTAGAGAGGAAGCTCAAATGCATATCATTACCCATAATACCAGTTAACCTCTTTAAGACACCACATATATACATGCACCATTACATTATATGGAAAAAGTACTACATCTTTATACAAATTTGTCCAGAAATGATGTTTGGCCCCTTTGAAACTTCTGTTGTTTGTCTTTTACAACATGAATTGTAAAGTATCTGT